CTGAGACGTATGGTATCTATAAGTTCTTAATTTCAATGCTAAGAGGGCTATACCGAAGCTCTGATTCTGTTGAGGCGTTAGAACCCTTGAGGGCCAAATTTGATGAGCAACACGATAGGTTGTATGACTTCTATGCGCAGTGCACGGCGGTTAGGTATCTATCGACGTTGATAACAATTCCAAAGTTGCCATTTGATGCACCTACGTTGGCAGACGAGCAGAAGAGCGTTTCACCTTTGATAGAGCAAGGAATTGTCCAAACACCGGCTGATTATGCCAATGTGCAAAAAGCGGTTTCATCACAGCCAACAGGGGCGGTTGCGAATGCGCATATGGCAGGACAACAGGCATACGAAGCGCAGCAGCAGCAATTAGAGCAACAGCGGCAGCAGCAGCTGCAACAACAACAGCAGGAGCTGGAACAACAAAGACTGTATTGGGAGGAGCAACAGAAAAGAAATTCGGAAGCGCAGCAGCTAGCGCAACAGCAATTGCTGCTTGATCAAGCGCAGAGGCAGGCTCAGGGCCGAGTTGCAGAATTGGAGAGAGACATTTTGGCGTTGAAAGGCCAGTACGATAGTGACCAGTTGATGCTTAGGAGCTACGACGAAAAGCTCCAGGTATTGGAAACTGAGCTGCGAACAACTTCGGAGACCGCTGGGGAACAGCTGGCTGCTAAGGAACAGCAGTTGACTTTTCTGCAAGAACAAATCGACTACTGGAAAAACAAGTACGAGTCCCTTGCAAAACTCTACTCGCAACTGCGAGCAGAGCATTTAGACCTACTTGCAAAGTCGAAGAAGATCCAGCAGAAGGCGGCGTCTGCTCAAGAGGCGGTGGAGAGACGGGAAAGGATGGAGAGGGAAATGAAGGCAAAAAACGTTGAGCTGGCCGACTTGATCAAGGAAAGAGACAGAGCGAAGCTGGAGCTGGAAAGGGTGAAGACGGGCTCGAAGGGGCAGTTTGAGAGCTTGCAGCTAGCAAAGGACGAGTTGGAGCAAAAGCTGGCGACACTCGAGCGGGCGCAGTCTGCGAACTTGACTGCTGTGTTCAACCAGCACAAGAACGAGGTCGAGCAGTTGCAGCAGAAGCTGGCGCGTTCGTCTCTGGCGGACGGGTCGTCCGGCAAGGAGCTAGAGGTGCTGAGGGAGAAGCTGCAGGAGAAGGACATGGAGCTCGAGATGATGCAGCAGACGATGGACGAGACGATCAAGGGGCTCGTTGCGCAGCAGAAGGAGGCGGGTGGCGAGGGCGGGCATGGGGGGTTGCGGAAGGTGTCGGAGTTGATCGACGCGGT